GGATTTGCTTGGTGCTTTCCTGTCACCAGACCACTTTGTTTTGATGACAAGAACATGCCACTATTTGGGAATGCTGACTTTGTATCTTTCACAGAGAAAATTTCATCCAGAAAGGTCTGTGTTGGTACAGAGGGAATGTGTGATTCATCAACACATAATAACACATATAAGAACTTTCCCATGAAACTCTGTAATACTAGTGTAGAATATTACCTTTCTGGAGATCTAAAACAAAACAAGTCATTGGGTGACTAAAGTGATAAAGCACTGACACATTGTTAAAAAAAAAAAAAAAAAAAAAAAAAAAAAAAAAAAGAGGTGAATTTATTTCATTTGAAGCAAAGAGGAGAAAAATGTGATCCAAGGTGATTATACCTCAGAGGGGGAAGAGTTATTTAAAATCATGACAGGTGGATTTTACAAGGAGGAGAGCCCTGAAACTAACTCCAGGAAAATTAGTTTACATATTAGAAAATAATTTCAGGAGAAAATTGATGAAATAACAGCATTTTTGGTTCCTGGAAGTAATGTACACAGCCTCAGCAGCAATATTCAGCCCAGACCACAGAACGGCCTTGTAAGCTCAGCCACCAGCTGAAGCAATTTATACTGTCCAGGCAGTTTAACATGAAGGACCACGAACATGAGTGCCAAACTGCAGCCACACTGCTCAGTGAGCAACTGAGAGGAAATCAGTGCCTCTGTGCATCAGCAAACACATGAGCATTATGCTGGGAAGAAGCAAGAAAGAGAAGAGTAACTCCAGCTCCAGGACCTTACATTCTGACTATCAAACTTGTAAGGATGCTGCACCATCATCCCCATTGGGAAGATTACACATCCGTGTAATTCAGTCCATCTGGGCTGCACAGACACAGCCTTCTGGTGGTGCCTGCAAGCACAGGACATCGTGTTTGGTCAGGGCAATGGGAAGGAGCCCGTGCATCCGAGCCATCTGCTGCAACATGTGGGGGAAAGAGAACACCCAGGGAGTGCTGTGGTCACAGCGCTACTCCCACATGGGTTTCCTCCACAGAACCAAGTTGGCACTTGGTGAGGAGGTTGCATGATTTTTTATTGTATCTCAGCACACATGCTGATGTCTGCATTGCTGCGTAAGAGTTGGTCATGCATTTATCTAAGAGCCAGATCCTCACACTTACTCACAAAACTGTAGCCATGAAAGCTACAATGACGGTGAAGCAGAGTTATTACCTGTGAATAAGGAAATAAAAACCTGTCCCCAGGTATCTGTGAGATCTGTGGAAATGTGGCAGGTTTGAGTGATGCAAGAACCAGAAGTTTGCACATCTTTGGTAGAAACATTGCATTCTCTGCACGTACGTAATCTGCCTGGCTCGCCCAGAACTCGGTGCCAGCGTGTCAGATCACAGTGGATGCCTGCAGTAACTGCATTGTTCCGGCTAGCTTTGTGCTTGCATTCATCCGGGACTGTCACAAATACAATTGCTCTAATTTACGAACAGGGAAATAAGAAACCTGAAAGAAGCAAAGGCTCAAAGGCTATTTATAAAGAGCTCCCCCTCCCTTCCTAAAAATGTTATCAACTACTTCATAATGTAATATCAAGCAGGAAACTTGGTGCCAGTTTCCAGCATTATGCATACCACTGAAAAAGAAAGGAAGCTTTCCAAGCAGAAAGAGGGACCTCAAAATAGTGTGGGCCATGCAGAAACCCTCTTATTTCATGCCTCCTCCTGCTCCATCAGTAATGGTGCAAATACACACTCCAGTCTGCTAAGGCATAAATTTCCCTCTGTTCTGCCTTTGAGAGGACTGTCAGAGCGATCGGGTAGTGCTTGTACCAGTTCCACATTGAAACTTAAACACCTCTGAGATCTACCAATAACATTTTTCTGAAACATCAGAGTCTGGATCCTGGAGGAGGATGAAGCTCAGCTGACTGCAGGCAGTTATAGAGAGCACTACTCACAGAGAGATGGTTGTGGACCAGGGTCTTTTCTAATAGCCTGTAGCAAAGAAAGGAAGAAAAAAAAATCTACAGTCATTTGTATATATTTTTTCCACGTTACTTACTTGTTTAGCCTGACTTACAAGTTTATGTTTCATTATTTTCTTCCTCATAACCAGTCCCATTTGTTACCCAGCACACAACAGAGGGCCTTGAAGTGCTGTTCTGAGCAAAATTTCTTTTTTTTTTTTTTTTTTTTTTTGACTTTACCATGCCAGCCACATGGAAAGGAGAGAGATTGGGTTACAGCTCAAAAGTCACATTTGTAAGTCTTGGTTTTCATGCTCACGCCCTGGGGATTTCACCTGTCTTCCTGCTCCTGAGCAGCAGGAGGGAGCCAGCCACACACCGCCTGCCAGGGGCTTACACTTTGAGAACAGGGTGTCTCGGTCCCATCACCCTTGTTGCAGTGTTAAAGACTGACGGGTATCATACAATTAAGGCTTATCCCCCACGCACACACACACACACCTCGACACACATACAGATTTCATTTCTGGGATTCCAACAAGGACATCATACTAAACTGATTATAAAACTTACATGTACTTGCTCATTAGGCTCAGCACGAACAGCTTTGCCTCTGTAAGGTCCCTCACTGGTTTCAGTGACATTATCCTGGCTTTATGCAAGTGTCAGGCAAACAGGACCTGGCCCCAACCTTGGCCCCAACAGGCAGGGAACTATCAAGTTATCTGTAGCACGAGTCTCATTTTTGGAGCAGTGCAATTTTCTCCATAATGATGTTGCCTTTGTTCCTCTGTTTCTGGCAGCAGAGTGGCTCACACATGCTATTAGCAGATGGTGTGAGATGTACATGGAATTCATGCCCAGAACATTTCTTCCATTCTTCCTTCCAGACTGAAGAAGTGCAAATTCAAGCTAAAAGCATGTACTAACTACAACCCTTCTCCAAAGAGGGCTACAGATAGTTAAAAGCAGGATCCTGTATAAGCCTCTCAAATATTTCAGTTTCTCTGTCGTAGTTTAACTACTCAGCACACATTCTTTTAGTCAGAAATGCAGGGAGTGCATGTCTGTAAAACCATACTCCTTGATGCCCTTATGTCAGCTCCTTTTCAGGATCAGCTGTTAACAAGCAGTATGCATTACAGGAAGACAGAAAACTTACATGAATCTCTCCAGTAAGTTGAGGCATCCATCTGTGGCCCGTAAGTAACTGTTGTAGGCTTGGCAGACCTTGGTGAACTTTGCATAGACCAAGATAAGTGCATAGGCTTAAGTATCAGGCAGACAAAATGCCAGAACGGGCGTGAATTCAGGAGCATGGACCTGTGCGCATTGCTCAGCCTCCAAAAACAGGAGGCACTGGCCTGATGAATTCCACCTCTTCCCTATTGATGCTGCTATGAGCTTAGACTAAACTAGTCTTCCAGTGTGGCTGCTGCCAGAGAAAGTCTGGGAGCTGGTGTTCTAGCCATGTGCTTCACTCTTTTCCTGAATAACCATTCACTTTGATCTGAAAGTCTTACCTAGGGTAAAAAATGGCTTTCTGAAAAATCTTCTTATGCAGGGTTCTCTTTTACTTCTAACATATTATTTTCCTTTCTGTATCCCCTGAACTGAGGTGAGTCTCACTCAGAGTTGTTCCTGAGCTTGAAAACAAACACTGATGAAAGATTACTGCTTTCAGCGCACCTCAGCCTTCATCGGGTTGGACCCGATAATCTTTCAAGGTCCCTTCAAACCCCTACAGTTCTGTGATTCAGAGTTTATGTGAGCACCTACTTTTAAGATGTTCTGCTTTTGTCCCAAAGGACAGTTTTATTCCCACTTCATGAGCTTGTGTGGAAAAACAGCAGATCCAAAGACACAAAAGTCTGTGGAAACTTGATGCTAACACTTAGGATCCAAATTTAAACTCTGCATGTTGATCCCACATATCAGTAAGGGGAACAGTCCCATGACATGTCAACAAGAAAAGTGCAATCAGTCCATGCTTTGGGACCCACTGCTCACTGGTGAGCCAGGTCACTGCCTGCCTACCACTGTCCCTCTTCCTGTGGAGGCACCATTCCTAGTCACAAGCTGCCTCCTGGAGGTGGGTGCCCCAGCCTGCACAGAGCCTCCGTCACTGAGTAACCCACTGCTTAGGCAGGGCTCCCACCAGGAGCAGGGATCTAACTGAGGTTAGATAAGGACTCAGCCCCATCCTGTTCACTTGGGTAGTGCCTGGATCCTGAGGTAAAGCATGCAGCCTCTGGTGGAAGTTACTCCACCTCATGCTGGGTGCCACAGCCGTGCTTGGAGCAACACCAGTACTGGCTTCACAACCAAATCCACCAACAGCCTCACTGCAGAGCTGGGTTCTAGCATCTGGCCCCATGCAAGGCTCGGTATCGTGCAAAGTGGAGCCAGCAGGCGCAGCACTACCCTCCTGCTGAGGGACTGGCAGGCCAGCCCTGCCTGAAGCCCTCGCACCCCCAGGCAGAGCAGAAATGTGGTCCTGGGGTTTCCTGTGCCACAGACAACTGCCGTGACTGCTGGGATGGCAGCTGAAAGCACATCCTGCACCTGCAAGGACCAGGACAGCTTCCTCAGGAGGCCAAGGTCGTAGGTCCCAGTGGGGCTGAGGCTGGGCTCCGTGGTATGCGCCCCACAGCTGCGCTGGCAGCTACAAGGCTCACAGGCACCTTAGTGTTTGACTTCAGTTTTAGGCACCTGTCTGCAAATCCAGGGGTTGATGCCATGCCTTGGAGTATGGGAGCACTCACCATTAGGAAATCGTGGTTAAAGTCCCTAGAGAAGAGGACTTCAGTCATAAACCAGATGCATGCCGTAGACCACAGTGGACACAATCAAACCTTGTACCCCGTGAAGCTTTCTGTCATCAAAGGACTTCTCAGGCAGAACAGACTATGATTCTCCATGGACTCAGGAGGTTACTGCTGTTTTATACAGTAAGATTAAAAGACTGGAGTAATCAAAATTTTTGATTTGTCTCTGTGTAGATTTAGAGTTTACACATAGAAGCTACTATCTCAAATGTAAATTCTGAAATGTCTTTTATTGGAAAGATATTACACCAAATATTTAGAAACTGCTTCATTGCTACAGTTCCATGATGATGTTCTTCTCTTTCTAGCCAGTCTCGGAGAATTTGTTCCTTTTGCTCAATAACAAAGGCAGAAGGGGCACTGACTACTTGCTTTTATTTGTGGAAGTCCTTCTATTCCAAAAGTATTCAAAATAATTTTCTTTTGTGCAAATGTACGTCCTTTTGCATACTGTGCTCTCTCTCATCAAAGACAGAAATCCATCTCCCTAGTTTTAAGGAGTCTTCAGGTTTTCAGATATTACAGTTCTCACGAAGTACGAAGGTCCGTCTCCCTGCATTCCCCTCTAGTGCTGCTGGCAGTTCAGAGCAGAGGGGACAGCAGGCAAAAACACCACTTTGTGTCCCTGACAATACGAAGCTATCAAAGTCATACTTTTATGTACACCTGCTTACACCTTCCACTGATGAAAAAAAAAAAAAAAAAAAAGAATGCATAGTAGAGGCACACTTGTGCCAACCATGGAATTTATTTCCTTAGAAAGGTATTTTCCCTAAAGCCCAATAGAGATTGCAGCGCCAGATAACTCACATACTTTGTTCCAGTGTCAAGGAACATGCAATAGAAAGGGCTGCAGAAACACCATGGCAAGCCCCTGGAGTGAACACAGGTGATGGGATAGTCAAGTTATCTCCCATGTGTGGTGAAAGCAAAGACAGAAGGAAGGAAAAGCTGAAAGTGAAAAATGTTATTTTTGTTAGATTTTTATCATACTTGGGGAAAAAAGAAAAAAAAAAAAGGAAAAAAACCAGAATTGGTCATGTGGCTAAAAAAGCTAAGTTTGATGTAGTCTGCAATGCCTGCCTAATGCAATGAAACAGTTTATACTAAAAGCTACTGATACCTCAGATCTTTCCTCTGTTACTTCTTTTTGAAGTTCAAATCCAAAAGGCTTCTTTGACTTGAGTGAGTACCTTTACTTGCCCTTTCTTTCCCTTGAAGCAAACTTAAGTTGTAAAATTCCCTGACGGATTTCTTGCTCCTTCATGAAGTTTATTCTCTCCTTTGCCCTCCTCCATATAACCAGACCCCTCTTCACAGTTGGGTGAACCTAGAAAATCACTCCGAGTGGGAACCACGTGAACCAGTTCAGTGAACATCAGGTAATTGCACTGTGCCTTAGAGGTCTTTCCAAAGGTCAGATATTTCTGGGTAATTTTCCAGCTACTTTATTTGTTAAACGAAAACACATTGAAATTGGGGGAAAAATGAGGTAGCTTTTTAGAAGTCTGTAATTGTACAAACAGCTGGGCTGGCACCTCTTGAGAAATCCCAGCCTGTGGATGAGAATGCCTGGCCACATGGCAGTGCTTTGGGGCTGAGCATCAAAGGCTCATACCTTCAAAATTTGTCTGTTCTTACAAAATCGGTATAGTTTACTGTTGCCCTGAGAATGGATGAGATTTTCAAATACACATTTCAGTAGATTCTTATAATTCTCAGCCACTTCCAAGCTTTTGGGAAAACAAACAAACAAAGAAACAAACAAAAAAAACACGTCTCTAAACACAGACACACATGCACAGCAAGTAGACAAACAAACAGCAGGGCTTCTAAACCTGGAGATCTCTGATTGCTTTCTGTGAGGTTTCTCCAAAGTCTAAAGTTAAAGGTGAGTTGACACTGCAGCTTTTCCTTCCAGGCATTACAAATTTGTGTCTCTAACAAACCAATAAGCTATGTGATAATAAATAGGAAATTAAAACTGGATTTAAATGAACTGATGTGTCAAAGCCTTGGGATGGTCACATAATCCCAACTTCCATGCAGTGTTGCCAAGTGACCTCTGAAGAACAAGGAACATATCTACAGCTCTCCTCTGAAGCTTCACATGGTTTTCTGTGTACACCAGATGATCAATGCTATCTATGTACATAAATGGCTAAGTGCTGAACAAAGGCTCCTCATGGTCATCTGAATTCCTGGCAAGATATTGCAGCTCTTCCCAGGTTTCAAGTTTTTAAGGCATCATACTAGAAGCACTGGACGAAGCAGTCACCTACCACATACCAGATCAAATGCAGAAAAACTGATTTATTCACTACAGTTGCTCCAGATTCAAGTTGAAAATAAGGTTCATTGGTTTGCAGGGCACTTGGATGCTTACTAGACATTTGTTGCTTTTGGAGTAGCAGTCAGAGGCAAGATGACTGGAAAAAGCTCAAGGATATCCTTCTGGGACATGCACTAAATGAGAACAAATCAAGACAAATTATATATATTTTTTAAATCCCTTCCAACCCAAAGCATTTTGTGATTCTATAGCAGTGTGTTGTTCCTTCCTCCTCCTGCCTGTGGCCTGGGGTTACTAAGATCTGTTGATTATTCCTAGAGCTTCCACAGAAAGTAACTTTTGCAAATTGTCATTATTGCACAAGGATCTGCACCTGTGCTGGTACAACTGGGATAATGTTGCACAAATCAAGATAATGAAAGTGGCTTCTTGGCATCAAGGTTTTCTGGAGAACACAGACTGGCTCCAGTACTAGATACTTTTGAAAACATAAGGACATAAAGTTTGTCAGAGGTCCGTGCAACCCAGCAGTGTCTCCAATAGTTGTCATTATCGATTCCTCAGGGGGAGACAACTAAATTACTCAAGGCTGACTGTATTGCTTTAACTATATACTTGCAAACTATTTCAAAGATTTCCAGTAGAGGCACCAGACCTCAAAAATGTTTCCAATCTTCTGGACAGTATTCACTATTCCCAACATCTGCAGACCATAAAAGATCAGAATCAACAATTACACATACACAGCTCTCAAGAGGCTGTCTGGTTAAAAAAATAGATCAATAGATCAATGGATTACCTCTGACACCTTTTAAAAGGCTTAGCTACATCTACCAACTTCAATTTCTCAGCCATCAGGGTTGATTTACACAGAAAGATCCACACTTAGCTGAGCAGTGCCAGTTTCACCTTCTTATATTTCTCTTGAGCTGAAAAACTGATTTTGGAGATTTGTTACTCACCTGTTTGGCTGACAGCTGAAGTGGAGACAGACCCTCCTGCACACTCTGTAAGGCACGGTTCTTCTGAGAAAAGACCTTCCTCAGGTGTCTCCACAGCAAACACAGACACCAGGAACTGGTGGCATGTTGGTGCTGTGCCCCCTCCAGCTCCTGCTGCACCACAGCTGCCTTGGGTGGCTCAGCCACACGTGCAGCCAAGCAGTTCCTGGACACGTGCAGGTAGCAGCAGTGAACATCAGTTCAAAGACAATTTGTGTAAATCCCCATTTGAGATGTTTCAGGAACTCAACTTAATTAGGTAACTTTCATAGACACAGAATTTGCATAAAGTCCTGGATACCAACATATGGTCAATCCATCTTGCCCCACGGAACAGTCATACACTGTTCCTTCTCTTCCTTCATGCCTGCTTTGATTTCTTGATGCAAGACAAGTTCCACTCCAACTGCATTTATGTTGTACCTGTGTTTGAAATGAAACATTTCAAACTTGCACTTGCAGGTCTATTTTGAGTAATATCTATAATAATAATAATTAAAAAAAAAAAAAAAGAGCAAACCATTTCAGTATTTAAAGACTGCAAAAGTTTTTTAGGTTTAGGGTCAAAACGGAGCCCAACTGGAGGAGGTCAGGTGGCAATTCCTCCAAGGGTGGCTAAACAGGCACTCTCAGGGCAACCCACAGGCTGGGCTGTTTTGGCAGGCAGTGCAGCATCTGTATGTAGCAGGGGAACATCTCCCTCACCTCTTCCTCTTTTCCTTCTCATCCTTCTCCTCTCCTCCACCCCTTTTCCTCTCCCTTTTCTGTCCCTCTCCTCCAATGGTAGCCTTGGCTTGGCACTGTTGTGTGAGTATGCATTCCCTGTATAAGTGCAGATGTCTTCAATGAATGATAAGTCAGTTTCTTCTGCTGAGGTGGATGCCAGGAGTTCTCTTTAGTATCAGTAATGTTTCATTCATGAGCTCGTCTGCTCCTGTGTGGAAGGAGCACAAAGCAACAGGCTGCCTGAAGACTGACAGCTCTTGAGGGAGAGCAGAACCAGACCCCAGAATTACTGCTGACCAGAGAACCTGCCTGAGTGGAAAGAGAGAGCATTAATTAGGATTAAAGGGAAGTAACGGGCTTAGTACAACATGACAGCTGTGCCAAATAGAATGCCACACTTTCTAGCTGCTGTCAGATCTCTGTGTTATACTTTGGGTATTGGCCAAATTATGCTGTCTGTATAATTCCTCTGTTACTGTAAGTCACTGGAGAAGGGCAGAATTGTCTATATTTAGGCTACCAGGTCCTCTGTGTTAATCTTTATTCCCTCTTCGTTTTAGTGCTCTGCTTGCTATTTTTACCTTGGATATTCTGCAGCAGGTCTGAATACTTGAAGAAGGCAGGCCAGCATTTCCTCAGAAGAATTTAATGGACATAACTCTGGTTTGTTTTCCATTTTCTTGTTTCTTCCTTTCTTCATGTGCGGGTTTTCCTACAATAAAGGCTCCAAACAGAAAGCAGCAGATCTGAAATGGAAAGCCAATGATAAATCAAATGGCAGCAGAAAATAAGGTAACATTTGTAATGCAGTTTTGCCTAGAGTTTCAGTGGCAGCTGCACTTATTTAAGATTATGAAGGTACATTTGAAAAAGCAAGCAAAAGATGAGTGCATGACAGATGCAAATCCTAATAGCACTGTTGCCAGACTGAGGCAAGAGAAATACTTGCTGCACACCTTCATTTTCCATCAGCCAGGTCCCTGTCTTGATCACAGTCAGTAGGACCGCACCCAGCCAGGAAAACCACTCACTGAGTAAAAAGGGTGGTAAAACCTGGCAGTAGGTAATTAGGGCAGTCATATATTTCTCATTGTAAATCAGTGTTATTGCTAAACATCTGATCTCTACGTGATGTAAAACATTGGCTAAACAACAATATTAATTGTTATTTTCCATTACTGTAACCTTCAGGAATTTTCGTTTGTGTTATTCATTCAATCCGAACAAAAAAAACTGGGACCAATCTTCCAGTGCATTGCACAGCTCCTGAGGTGCATTCTTTCTAGTGGGACTGAGCCTAACTTGCTGCCCCTGCTCTGAAATGACCACAGGGCCCAGGCACCCCTGGGGAAGGACTGGAGGCTGCAGCAGGACAACGGCTGCTTCACTCTGGCTCTGCACATTGCTGCCGGACAACCTCTGCTTTGGCTCTGTCCTGACCATTCCCCTGCTTCCTCCAATTTTCCTCAGAAGGAATACAGATTTAAGTGACATTCCAACTAAAGAGGGACCTGGTAACCAATAGTGATACTTTTCTCAAAGCAGAAAAGGTATAAAGAGGAGCACAGGCAAGGAGAAAAGAAGAAATATTTCTGGAAAAAAAAGGTCCAAGGCTGTTGATGATACAAAATGCACAGCCTGGAACCCAAGGAGTGCATAAGCAAAGAGTACTCTGGAAAAATTAGAGAAAGGTTAAGCAGCATCCCTGAGCAGAAGCAGAGCCACCGTGCCGGCTAGCTAGCCCGTGTTCTCACCCATCTCAGACTGTCAGAGCTGGGGTGCAATGAGGGGCAGCAACACCAACCAGGACAGGCTGATGCATGAGGGTGGGGAGAAAAATTATTTCAGAGCTGGAGCTGATTTGTGTAGAATCTGGCTGTTAAACAAAGAACCACAGTGTTTTTAAAATTCTGCCCGTTGAACTAAGTTTCCCTCCTGCCAATCGGATTACTTCAGCTGGCCAAACAGTCACACCTCTTTTTAGAAAAGAATTTGAGAAACATGACCAACACAGTGTGACAGTGTAGCTAACCATCCCCTTCACTGTGCTCAGAGAAGAATGTAAAAGAAAATTCAGAGAATTTCTATTTTTAAGCCTAATACAATTCTGTGCTTAAAAATAAAATCATGTATTGGTAGGTATATTGTAGCAGTTTTTACACATTTGCATTAAATGTATAAAATTATTTTCTTTTCATTAAAAATTAAAAAGAAAGAATTTGATTATTGCGTATAGATAGGTGCTTTTGGAGAACAAGGCTTCTCTTTTACTTCTGAGAATGCTTTTCAGGGCAACATGTGAAATCAGACTCTGAAAGTAAGGTACATTGTCTCCCTTTGCCAGATAAAACACTTGAATGTCACAGGACAGTATCAAAAACAAACCAACACAACATAGCTGGGAAGAGCTGGAATTATTTGGGACAAAAATATGTTGGGATACCACCTGTGTGAGAGGCTGCTGCAATGGAGCTCTTCAGCGGCTTTTCTTTGGTATCCCGGTTTCATTGGCAGAAATTGTCAGACTTCATTAGATCAAACTGAAACATCTCTCTGCCCACAGCCAGACAGATCACAGCCTTTTGCCACAAGTTATACCAATCACTGGCTCTTAGACTATAACTGTTCGATTGGCATAAAGTTTAACACAGACATACGTAGATCAGGTCGTGATTTTAATTTGAAGTTACTCTCAGTGAGCATAATTTAATATTCCTGAGACGGTTCCATATTAACTCAGGGCAAAATTCAATCGGGATTTTGAAACAGCTTTGAAATCAACTTACAAAACGCATCTTCAGCTTACATCAGTTCAACTTTGTACAGTTCTTTAAATAACAGTCATTTTTATGGCTAGTGTACATCAGAAAAGTGGAAGATATGCAGGAACCATGTTTGTGAAATTCTAACTGGATTCCAAAAACCATAAAAAGTATAATTTTAGTTATTGCCAATTTCCATACATTCCTGGCAGCATTTGCAGCCTGTGAAATCCCCATCTATGTAGGTCGTTTCTCTCATTCAATGTGCTCATCTTCACTTTCTGACCATTGGCTCTCAGCCAGTTTAGAGCCTCACTGTGGGTGGCATTTTTCTAGATAACTGCAAAGCGCACATAAATCCTGCCTTCCTACAGAATGCTGAGGAACATGCCCCAGTTGCCAAGTTGATAGGGAGGGGATGCCGGGCCCCAGCCACCACGCCACAACAAGTGCCTGCAACCAGTTCTGCCTCTGATCAGGGCTGGGGCTGCATTCAGAACACTGTGGCTTGGCAGGCAGGAAGAGCCAAGCACATTCACAGTGAGAAATGGTAAATTAAAAGTGGCTCAACTGAAGTGTCTTAGTATTTAGATGTTTTCCCTTCCTTTTTCCTAGTATATTTATAGCTGGTACTTTATCCTGCTATGGTTAAACGTTGCCAGTATCAAGACTTTTTTCTTAAAGAGAGCAAGTCAAAACCAATGCAGAAAGCTCACCATTTTCTTAGTATTTTGTGATTTAGCAAGTTCTGAGCTCATTTGTTTCACCCTCCATGTTGTCTCCTCTCTTTGGGCAGGGCAAAACAATTGATCTATCTGAAGACTGGAGGAGGCCAATTTTCTGATCTGACCAGGAAACACGACGCAGGGATTTGAGCCTCTGGTTGGGCTGAAAGCTCTGCAGCAGCCAGGCATCACGCAGACTCATCAGCTTGTCTGCCTGTGGCCAGGACACTGTGAGGTCTAGAGGCAGTGGTGCTTGGCTCTTGACCCACTTTCAGCTCTGGGACAGGACTTCTCTTGCGCCTGGGCAACTTGCAGCAGCTGGACCTGGATGAGGTTGCACAGCCCACCACAGCCACTGCAGCGTGCTTTTCCTGTTCACAACCCTTGCTCAAAGCATCAGCTGGGAGCAACAGAGACATTTTACTTCACTTTGATTCACTCATGGAAAGCTGGACCCCGAACCTCCCCACCCCAGCACAACTTCAGTTTCTTGCCTGAGGAGCAGAGGGATGCAGAGCCAAGCACTCAGCGCTTTTTGGCTGGCCCAGGGACCAGCAGACTTCATCATGCACCCAGATTGGGAGAGCACATAGCTTTGGGCACCCTGCAGCCCCAGGTGGCCGTGCTTCTTGATGCCAGCCTTTAGCACCCTCCTCCCATGCAGTGGGACCATCCTGAGCTCCCCAGAGCTCGAGGGGCTGGTGGCAGCTCACCCCAGCTCCCTGGGCAGAAGCTCCATCACTGGTTGCACTCATGAGTGACTTGCATCCCCTCACTTTATGCCAAGGACCAGACGCTGAGCAAGGGCATAGAGGGTATGCAGTCATCCTCCCGCTCCCACCACAGCTTGAGTGTAAAGGAAGCCCACGTATACAGTCATGCCAGCAAGACCAGCAGGTCCACCACTGGGATGCAGCCAAGGAGCATCCCTGCTCAGGAAAGCACTGCAGTGGTGGTGGGGGTTACTGGAAAGTGCCTTAGATTGTTCTCCTGCACCATGAAACCCGCCAGCCTTTGGATGCCAGTCTGAAGATTTTTGGTACTCACACAGGTCACAAAGTACACAGTGATGTGTGTGCCTTATTTAATACAGTAATTTGAACATATCTGCTTTTTCACTTAATACAGGCAACTGTTGTTTCAGTGTCCCCTCAGGACATTATGTTCACCAAAGAAGGGCCCACGGACAAAGAACATCTTTTGAAGGCTCTCATTACTTCTCTGCCATATTTATCATATCTGATAAGCTTATCTGTGGAATACCGAAAAGAGATGTTTATCTCTTCTTTTACAAATAACTTAGGCTAAAGTTACTTTGATACAAAGCTTTTGCAATTCCTTTCTGTAAAGAACTACTTAAGTGCTACCCTTGAGGAAAACTAGCATAATGTTTCACATCTGTCTCATTTTGTCTCTAATGAAGACTACTTTTTGTACCAGCTCTACCCTTATATTATTACTGTGGGTTTTTGATTTCAGTAAGCAGTAAGAATTTTATTTACTTTTTACTGCAGTTACAGTTTTGCATGCATTTCTCTTTGAAATCAATGAAAGACCAGGTATATTTTACATGAAAGAAATACTTATGTGTTGTTTTCATACAGTACAAAAGGCATTTCATGGATTTGGGATTTGTCTAAGTCCTGTGTATTTTATTTCTTGACAATACTCTGAAGTAGATGGGAAATTAACAACTGTGCCTTAGGAACTGTAACTCACATAGGCTGGACGGTAGGTCAAGGCATGTAGCCACATGCTATCAGTCAGCACCACACTGACCCTATACTGAACCATACTCCCAGTGCTACAGAACATTAATTCTGACTTATCTGTGACAGTGAGCAATTTTCCAGTGATAGGGCAGACTTAGTGATCTTGGACAGGCAGGGTCTAACAAGGTGAGAGATGAGTCCTGTTGAAATCTTTCAAGCATGAATGAAAGAGGAAGTTGTTCTGCCTATTTATGAAAAGTCTGCATCCAAAGGCTCTGACCAAGCAGGCTGGCTAGGGCTACAGTGTCTGCAGTCAGCAACAAAGAGGTTCCCGCAGGGACACAGCCCTGATGTGCCACCAACCTTCTTGTGGGGCTTGTCAGGACACATCTTCAGCCTTGTGCAAACTATTTCAGAGTCAACCTGGCACATTGATCCAGTGTGTGTACCCTTATGCAGAAGGAGCTGGAGCCGCCTCCAAGCTGGAAGGACCAGGACACGTGGTCTGTGTAGACTCATGCCTCAGGGCAGCTTTGCCTCGGGGCAC